TAAATTCCTTGTTGTTGTGCCAGAGCTGAGATCATGCCATCATTTTCTTATTTGGTATTTATCAGATGCTGATTTGCATGACAGGTCATTAGAATGGTCATTTTTCACTGAAGTTGTTTCTCTCGGGTGTAATGATGAACGTGTCTGCTTTGGTGGGACACTGATGTGGGCGATAGTTTGACAGCGTTCCATCAGTGCATGGCACACACCTGCTGGGATAGCAAACCACGGCTACTCGGAACAAGTTTTTTTCAACCAGTCATCTGCAATGTTCCTTCTTTCCTTCGTTACCTCCACTGGTAACTTTTTCGTTCCCTGCAGTTTGCTCTGTGGTTTACATCCATCACTCTGGCTCAGAGATGCAGATGGTAGTTGGATAAATGTTTGATCAGTGGCCTGAATGAAAGAAGTTTATGACTTTTGATTGATATGAGGTTGATGAGCGTCATTACTGGGTCTTGTTATATCACTTTATTGTGTGGTAATGTAATGTTTGTTTTGCCATCTGCACATGATCCCGCATGTGTGGGTTGGCAAAGCATGAGTTGAACGGTCTTGCAAGATTAAGTAATGACATGGACTGTGGTTCTAAAACGTGATTTATGTATGTGATGTCATGATGTAGTTTCAGACTCACTCACTGCAGACTTAAGGAACTAATTTTCCCTTTCATTAAAGAGGAAGTTCACCCAAAAATGAAAATGATGTCATTATTTACCCTCATGTTGCTCCAAACCCCTTTGACATTCTTCCGTGAAACACTAAGTGTGACATTTTGAATAATATCTTGTCTGTTTTTCTAATTTATAAACATAAATGTCTTCTGAACCCATACAATAAAAACAAAATTTAGTTTGTTATTTACTGATAATGTCTCCACTGTAATTCGCATATCAAATATGACATATCAGGTTTATTTTCTAAACACCGATTTTTCAGTCTGGTCCTTTGGACTGATTTGAGGGTGACTATAAATGATGATGGGATTTTCATTTTTAGGTGAATTGTAAGTCTGCATTAAATGAAAATTCACCCTATTTATTATTTTGATCTCACTTGTTAACTTTTGTTAAGGTTAGTGGTGTCACTACTCCCATTTTATCGTGACTTTAAATATTCTCAAATATTTTCATATTTTTCCCCTCTGTTGGCAAAATGTAAGTGTTGGGACATGACTAAATGAGGCAAGGGTGTAGAGGTACATTCAAACTATTTTAAGGGTTGAAGATTTTTTTTCAAGGAAAAAACATTTAAAAATGTAATTTTGGTGATCAAAGATGAGTTCCCTTATGAGAGTACACGAATATGTAAGAATACTGAAGCCAAAAATTATCCTTTAATTTTTCATTTGTCAGTTGTCCAGATGTGATCTGGAAAGTAATCATCAGTAGTATTTTAAAGGTTTTATGGGCTATAAGCACACAGCCGAGCCAGACGAAGTGTCATCTATCTGAATCATTTGGAATGCAGTGTAATTTCTTCCAGTCTGCCATTGAGATTGGGACTATCACCAGAATCTAGGAAAGCAGATTTGGATTTTGCATGTGGAAGATTAGTGCCAAGATAGATTCAGTTGAGTCAAAATATTTTCTCCTTTTCTCCGTTGATTTTCATGTGGGACGATTTTTGTCTCGAGTTCCACAACATTGCAAACTTTGTTCTTATCGAAAAGGAAAGCTCTAGGAAAGCGGATCATGACAGAAATAGGTCAGACACTTTTCATTATTAGCTAGATGACTGAGGGAAAGAAACGCCACAAAAAGGGAACACTAGAGGCCGAAGGTCCATTCTCTCCCATTGAACAAAAGCGAGACCACAGCTGCTGTCAAACCAACAAATTCCACAGATGTGCTTTCTTACCTTAAAACGTCTGAATCTTAAAAGCAAGCAGCCAAGCACGCTGTCAGATACTGCAGAAATACTCTGCCTCGATCTTCTTTGGGGAATTGTGATCTTCATCGACTTGCCATTTCCTGAACATTCCTCACTTTGTTTGTTGTATTTTTAACTTGCCAGTTTTCAGTCCTTTCTGTACTTTCAGCATGTTTTAGTTCCAGGAGATCTAATGTGAGTGAATTTGCATACCTCATTGATCCTGATCTCCAGAGAGGATCATAGCTGAAGCTTTCATGCATTTTGTTTATTTGAAAACAGCTCTTGTTAATCTTGATGGTGAAGTATGCTCTGTAATCATCTAAACAACAGACTCTGTTGACCTCACTCTGTCATTAGCAGCTGGCCTGAGTGCAGAATGCATCATTTTGACAGATGAAACTCAGAGGTTGTCATATAGGCTACATGACTACCACTTTAAGTGAGGTATGTCACGAAACATACATTCTTTAAAGGGGTGATTAACTGTAGCATATACTGTAGCATGGTATTTTACTGATGGCATGACAATGGATAAAAATGCCAACCATCAAACAACCACACGTGAATAAAGACTGTATTAGACTAATTTTTGTGCTATTCTCTATGACTTGTAAGGGTGACTGAATATATGAGACTGAATAATAATAAGACTGAATATATAGGCTTACTGCTGTTGATGACAGTTTGTAAAAATAAGAAAAAAACACTTGTATTCTATTCATGACACATTTAATCACTCTCTTTCTCTCTAAAATCCCCTCTCTTTCGTTTCTTTCAGTAGTATCTCCTCCATTGTCTGGCTTGCTGTTTAGGGGATGTAAGCAAATGCTTTGTTGGCGTGTTACATCAGCACTGTCAGTATGGCTAGTCAGGGGCACATTGTCATAGGAAGTCCACACCCCGGCCCATGCCGTTGTACAGCTGGAAGCCAGGACAACTGGGGGAACATATCACTCAGCCACAGTTAATTAGACATGTGAGCGCCACAGGATGTAGTGTTTCCCTAATATTGAAGGACATGTTCATTTATTTGACCCAGGGACCCTGACGTCAGTTACACTCAAGGTGTGTGTGCTCTTTTGACCTAATATTACATGTCTTATGGTTGTTCTGAAGTTTGTCTACTTTTTAATTGGCCTGTTTTAATGCATTAACGGGATATTACACCCAAAAATTCAATTCTGTCATTTATTTACCACCATGTCTGGAGTGTGCGAACAGAACGCCGTTGTGTCAGCTGCTGCAGACCGTAACTTATGTTCAAAATGAAAGAGTAGGCTACATCATGAATCCATTTTCCAAACTGTGTTTTTCACTTATCCTGAATCACCCCTTCCTACGTCTTTTCAGCGGTTAGATGAGGGTAATCGCTCGACTGAAGAAAAGGAAATTATTATAAAATGCAGAAGGTATAAGGAGTGTGAGATTTCTGTAAACTTTGATTTAAAACAACTATAAACTTTGATAACAAAAAATCTGTATTAGCTTATTAAAATACTCTAATCTTTTAAAATGTAATGCATGCATTTGAATATTTAATGATTTTTAAAAGATAGAAAGATGATGCTTATAGAAAGATGATGATGATGATAGATAGATAGATAGATAGATAGATAGATAGATAGATAGATAGATAGATAGATAGATAGATAGATAGATAGATAGATAGATAGATATAATTCAAATGTAAAATGCTTAAAATTACAGATTAAAATTACTGTCCAAAATCTATGAAAATCCACAAATTTGCCAATAATAATTAATATATTACAGGTTTTTATGCTAGCCAGAAAGCCTTTGCTAGCTTTGGTCCATTAAAACCACTATTCATCAGCATGCATTGATTAATCCCATGGCATGTAGCAAAAAAAAAAAAAAAGGTGCGACCAACTAAGAAAGTTGGTAGCACCAGTTCAACCAGTGGAAAAGTTAGTCTGGACTGGAGCCCTGCATCATTAAAACCAAACTTTGCAAAACAAGGAGAAATGATTAACTATGATCATTTCAACTTGTTAATGTATAATATAATTTCAGGTCACAACCAGCTGAGATTGTCAAAAATGTTCAGTATACAGCTAAATATGTCAATCCAAGCAAGCAGTCTTTATGAGAATCATGTGAGAGAAGGGCTGAAATGTAGGTCATATATGATAAACCTGTTAAAGTGTTTTCTGCAGCTAGCAGTTAAACTTCTCATTTCCATCAGCTAACACAGAGTGATCTCATGTCCCTGAGGTGCCAAATATCAGTTTGTTCTGTCATATATCTGTCTTTGGACTTGTCTAGACATGGTGTAAAATGTGCTCTGAACTTATTTTTTTGCATCCGTGCCCTTCCTTATTTAAAACATTCCCAGATAATCCATAACCATTAATTATGACATTTAGAAGGTCCTTTGTTTGCTCTCTGAATTAAACAGTTTAAAGGCATGGTTCACACACACTCACACAAAAAAACATTCTTTCATTTACTCTCCCTCATGTTGTTCTAAACTCACATGATTTTTTTAAATAACCTTTTAAAAAACACAAAAGGTGATTTACCCTATCGTTCAAAATTTTCGGGTTGGTAAGATTTATATGTTTTTGTTTTTTGAAAAAATTGTAACAAAAATTTAAAAGAACCGTTTTATATCTGAATATTTGAAAATGTAATGTATTCCCGACCGTGCTGAAAAAAAGCTGAATGTTCAGCAGCCATTACTATTGTCGTCAAGCAGCAGGCAGTGCACCAAGAAGAGCTACAGTGGATGTCAACATTTCTAAATAAAGACTTCTGAAGATTTGGAATAAAGTGCAAAGTTGTTTTGACAACCTTTTAATTATTATTTTTATTTTTAACTTTGTAGTTCCAGTCTTCATTCGCTTTCATTACATGTAAAAGAGTGGACAAATATAAAAAAAACAAATTCCCCTTTGGTGTTCCACAAAAAAATGGGTAATTTGTGTGTGATCTCTAAACTCATAAACGTATTTGACTAGTGTATATAATATGTAAATGCTTGATTTGATGGACAGCTCCGTAATTCCTAATAATATGAGAAAATGTGTTTATTTTGTTACCAAATGAGTTAATTTACATTGTGATCATGTGTTTTAGCAGTTTGTTTTCTTTTTTTCCCACAGTTACTTGGCGGACCAGTGCTGGAATGGAGGCTGCATCTACCTGATCATGCTGCGAAGAATCAAACGCAAAGCTCCTCTCCCTCCATGCAATGGCAACAATGGGGGTAACTGTGTGGACGTTTCTAAAGAACCCCGGCGCAATGTCTCCGACAAGCCTGTTGGCAGCCCCACACACAATGGGCAAAACGGAAAACGAACCCGCAAATTTGGCGTTATTTCCCGCTCCTCGTTCACTTGCGACAGCAAAGACAGTAAAGATAGCCGGGACTTTGAGCATGAGAATGGCTACAGCTCCATGGAGGCAACATCCCCAGAGAGCAGCTCCCCTCAGGGCACACCGACCGATGATTGTCCGGTCATTGGCTCCTCTGAGTTGATTTCAAATCGCTTGAAGATTGGGAGCACGGCCACCCTACCCAGCCGATCCCACTCACGCTACAAAACTGAGTCAATAAGCAGTGAACCTTCCAGTCAGGTAAGAAATATAACCGCAAGAAAACTGTTGTTTTAATAGAAGTTGTTAGAATTGGTTATTTAAATAACTTTAAGTCCTGAATTGAATGAATGCATGCAAGGCTTTTAAAAAAATGTATTAAAAAAATTATATATTACGAAATATGAAAAAATTACAATTTATATATATAAAAAATATTAGATTAAAATGTGTAAATATTTGATATTATATAGCCATATTACAGTATATATCATAAAATTGTTATAAAATGGTACATATTATAATACATTCTTTATTATAAAGTTAAGCTGTCTGAAGTTTGTTGTGTCTGATGGAAAGTTACACAGATTATGGCCATAAAATGTCAGCATAAAAATGTGCTAAATAAACAAGCAAGCAAACAGAAAAGAGGGCACTTTAAAATCTTTGGAAGCGCCCTTTAAGTCCATAGATTCAAACATTGACTTTGCTTTGAGGATGAAAGAGTGGTTGGTTGATGCTCATCGTGTAATTAGAAGTTTGGACCCCACAGTGCGGCTAACTGCATATGTTTCCGATTTAATTCTCCATTGGGACCGCTAGTGTTACTTGCAGCATTGTGGAGTCTTGAGACCTTAAACTGAGTGGCTCACTCAATATAATCATAAGGGTTCTTCTTGATGTATCCATGTGCCAGTGGTTGAAAGAACTGCTTGGAAGGATCTTCCAAAAAAGCTGCATGTGTCTGATTTTGAACAATCACACAGGATTTCAAAGACAGACAAGGTGCGGTTTCCATGAGATTCTGCAACAAGCCATTTTTGGAAAGCCACATAAAAGGACAACGGACTGACTCAATATGCTTAATTGTATAACTGTGTCCTTACTTTCTTACTTCCCATTGCAAATACACGCTCTTTGAAGGGCTAGAGGTGGATATATATATATATATATATATATATATATACTGTATATATATCCATATATTATATGTACAGAAAACAGGTCAAATTAAAGTATCAGATAATACATATACAAAAAGTATAGTGAACATAAACAGACACAAAGAGAACACCTCAAACACACACCAGATAAAATAAAAGTACATGTTAAACAAACAACAACATAAGCGCTCAATCCGATTTACAATTCTTAAAAAGATACCTGAGAAAGGGCCCCAGATTTTATATATAAAAAAAAAAATTCAAGCATCAATCTTGGCAAAATGAATCCTTTCGAGCTTGAGGAAAGCAACTATCTCAGCCAGCCATTTACAAAAACTTGGTGGTAAAGTGGACCTCCAATTCTTCAAGATCACCCTTTTAGCAATCCCCATACTGAACATAAGAGACAATTGTTGAGGATGCGTCAATGCTAATTTCTAGGGTCAGAACATCCAAACAGACCTAATTCAACATCTGGACTGATATATTCTCCAAAAACGTTCGAGTACCACCTAGATATGTTCTTTCAAAACTCTGAAATCTCAGGATAAAACCAAAAGCTATAAGCATCCGTCCCATCGGAGCTCTTGCATCTATCGCATTATGGGGAAACTGAAGGGTCAATTTTACCCTCAAGTTTAGCCATTTGGATGATGTAACATGTGAGGCGGGTTATATTAACCAGACTACATCAGGTTACATTTAACGAAAGTTACTTTTAAATGTTTATTTAGGTAGAAATAACTTTTTAAGAGAAAATCTTCTCATTTTCACCATGTTCAATGGATTACCTAAATGGTTAAAACATGGCAGTTTTACAAGCAAATCAAATATCATTTTAAAGTTGTCAATAACTCATCAAGCCACTGAAATTAGTCACATTATCTTAGAGCATTGCAATATCTCATCCAGAATGTGTATGTAATCATTATGTTGCAGTTCACAAACCACAATATCAAAGAACAAGTCATAGTGTTTTTATCTGAAGAATCTTTATAGTTGTGTAAACACTGATGACTAATTGGTTACAACTGACTTCACAGCTCAGTTGACAGGAAACATAATCTATCTGTATCATTAATTACAGTTTGTAGGCATGCTCCCTTTCAAATACACTTTTCCAAAATGTGATACAATAAGTTTCCTAGACATACAGTGAGAGTACTATACCAGTTACAGTAGTAGTATTAGTAATGTGTTTGTGCAAGCATGTTGTGTAGGAATGTTTCACAGGGAGGATGTGTAAGCTTATTTTGACAGTGAAAAAGCGTGAGAACGTGAAAAGAGAGGCAGCAGACCATCTCAGTGAGAGATCCCGTGTCGGTGATTCACCCCGCCGACGGGCTTTCCTTGAGAACATGCCCCTCTCCTAGACAGATTTCAAAGGAAATGTGAACAAGTTGCAGCATGTTTGTAGTTCAGAGGTGTGTGCTAACCCAACTGTCATTTTGGGAAGGAGTGTTAAAGGTAAAGTGTGCATTCTGCGCCACAAGAGGCATCAAGCGGAATTGCAAAAATAATGAGTTTTTCCAAGCAGGTTACTCAACTTCCAGCAACCCTCCATCTAGGCTTTATATTCAGACATACACTCCTTTTCAAAAGTTTTGGGTTAGTACTTTTTATGTTCTTAAAAGAAATCTCTTATGCTCACCAAGGCTGCATTTATTTGATCAAAAATACATTAAAACAGTAATAATGTGAAATATTATTACAACCTAAATAAACTGTTTTCTATTTTAATAAATAAAAAAGTGCCAAAAAAGTGTTGCTGATCGGATTTAAAAAGGCAAATGTTTAACAACAACAGTTCTTATAACCATCATTTTTGGATTGTGTAGCTTTTCATTTCTTAGGCAGTGTGTCCACCAAAGCGTTTTTAGCCAGCTGACAACGTCAGACAGTCTGCTGAAGACACCATGCTTTGGGCGCTTGAGAGCGTTTTGGCAGTGCAGCATTTTTTTCCGTTGAGACGTTTCGTTGCTATGATACACAGTTTACTTGTAACTGATTTTGCAGATAATTTGTTTCATACTAAAAAATAATTTTTCATCCATTTTGTTCAGTTAGCTCTACAGAAAGAATGTTGTGACAGTTGGTCAGTGTGGTTTAGTCCCGCCCCCTCCATTGTGATTGGACGAGTGGGTAAAAAGTGACAGTGATGAGTGCTGCGTTTTATCCAAAGTTGAACATTTTTCAACTCTCGGCAACCAGTAAAAAACACTGGACGCTTGGCGCTTCAGCGTGAAAAAAAGTTCAACGCCTTGTTACGCTCATGGCGTTTAAAAAACGTGGCGCTGCCTCCCATTGAAAACAATTGAAAACGTATGCCAGGCGCGTGGAAAAACGCTTTGGTGGACACGCGGCCTTAAAGAAACCACGTAGGATACAAAATATTGACCAAATATTGATAAATAAATGTTTTGATGTAATTTCAATCAAGAGGTGGTGCATACATTTTTGGTCATGATATTGACAAGAGTCAAGTCTTCTATAAAGTCAACTCCAGCACATCCCAAAGACTTTCAATGAATTTAAGGTCTTGACTCAAAGGTGCTAATTCATGTGTGAAAATGATTACCATGCTCCCTCCCAACCATTCTTTCACAATTTGAGCCTGATGAATCTTGTCGTTGTCATCCTGGAATATGGCCATGATTTGTCTTCCAAGTTCCAACATAGCTGTTAAAGAAATGAAAAGCTAAGCTCCAAAAATTAGGGTTAGAAGAACTGTTGCCTAATATAACATGCTAGAAACATGCTTATTATTGAAAAAAATGATTTAACTCTTAATTTGCCTATTTTAATCCAAATAGCAAATTATTATTATTAATGTGTATTTTGAAAATGTCATTTATTCCAGTGATGGTAAAGTTGCATTTTCAGTGTCATTACTTTAGTCTTTAGTGTTCTTCACAAATCATTATAATATACTGATTTGGTGCTTAAGAAACTTTCTTTGATGAATGGACTCAAAAACTCAAAAGATCAGCATTCATTTGAGATAGAAGTCTTTTGCAACAATGTAAAAGGCTTTACTGTCACTTTGATTAATTGAATTCGATCTTGCTGAAATAAAGAATCAAAAAATCTTTCTGACTTCAGGCTTGTGTATGGTAGTATATTTAGCTAATACCTAGAAAGTAAATATTAGCAAGATTGGTATCTGTCAATAATGAACTTAATGAACCTGAAGTTATTTTTGAATTCATCATTAATGAACAGTAATAGTGATTGATGTAGTGCAGCTCAGACAGAGAAATGGCATGTGGTCCTAAAGTTTCCCTTCTTCTGATAAATGGCCTTTCCATACGTGGAAGTAAGCCTGGATAAAAAAAGAAAAAAGAAAAGCATGGAAATGCTAAAGTTCTTACGCTTAACTTTACAAAAACTTTACTGAAAATATATAAACAATAATGTGTCTTAATTTGCTGAATGGTCTGTTCAAATATTATTAGTTGTTGTTTGTTTTGCATGAAATGCAGTATAAAATGGGAAAGAGTTTGAGAACTGTAATGTAAGTTAAAGCCACAAAACAGCTGCTACAGGAGTTTTGGCATATCTAATGTTATGTAATACTCCCGATTGTTCCGTTATACGGATGAATATTCCCCTCTTCTCATCTACAGGCCTGTGAGGGCAGCCAGATCTGGAAGATGCACATGGTGAAGGGTCAAGACGGACTGGGTATCCAGATCACAGGCGGTCGAGGGTCCAAACGCTCTCCTCACGGTATCATTGTGGCCCACGTGGAGGAGGGAGGAGCTGCACAGAGGTAAACGGCTTTCATTAGCAAAGGTTTTCAGCTGCTGCCTTGGCAACAGTAGGTGCCGTGATGATACTTCTCAATTGACATCTCATACATATGCAAGCGTCAGAGAGTCTTGAGTGGCCTCTGCGATACTAATTTATCTTCAAAGGCATTGTGACACCCTTATATGGATGCACAGAGAATATCCAGTCACGCTACCATATGTACGATAATGACAAGTTCACAAGGTATCAGAGGGTTCAGTAGTTATAGTCATAATGCTCTATACTGCTAGCGTTTGCTGTCCTATTAACAATACACTCACCTAAAAGATTATTAGGAACACCATACTAATACTGTGTTTGACCTCCTTTCGCCTTCAAAACTGCCTTAATTCTGCGTGGCATTGATTCAACAAGGTGCTGAAAGCATTCTTTAGAAATGTTGGCCCATATTGATAGGATAGCATCTTGCAGTTGATGGAGATTTGTGGGATGCACATCCAGGACACAATGCTCCCGTTCCACCACATCCCAAAGATACTCTATTGGGTTGAGATCTGGTGACTGTGGGGGGCAATTTTAGTACAGTGAACTCATTGTCATGTTCAAGAAACCAATTTGAAATGATTCGAGTTTTGTAACATGGTGCATAATCCTGCTGGAAGTAATCAGAGGATGGGTACATGGTGGCCATAAAGGGATGGACATGGTCAGAAACAATGCTCAGGTAGGCCGTGGCATTTAAACAATGCCCAATTGGCACTAAGGGGCCTAAAGTGTGCCAAGAAAACATCCCTCACACCATTACACCTGGAGTTCAGGAGATTGTCTTGACCAGGACCACACCTCAAAATGCTTTGAAGCAACTGCCATGTGATTTGATTAGATTAATGCGTTAATGAGCAATTGAACAGGTAATAATCTTTTAGGTGAGTCTATGTCTTCTGTGTAATTTAACAATGTGTTGGGATCGTGAAAAATATTATTTCAGAACATTTTACATCACAATACTGTGATATTCACATGCCAAATAATCATCACTTTTAGTTATCTTATTTACATGAGTATTTTTGGAAATAATGTGTCAATAGCTATGTTTACATCCACCTATTTTTATGCACATTTTTGGATATTTCGGAACTCTGAATGGAAACGCTAAAATGTGCATAAATTCAAGAAAAAAAAATTCCGATAAGAAAACAGACTATGACGAAAACACATTTATCAAATGTGTTCTGAAACGCCTGAGCAAAAGACTGTCGTTAAAGTGGTTTGCTATAATTACCTGACAGAACTGTCTTACATGACTTCATTCCCAAGCAGTAGCATCTGCCTCTGAAAGCAAGATAACTTTATTGTGTTTGGTCTGCGCCCTCTGAGACGCAAGACAGTTTGATCAATTTATTATACTAAATTATTATATACATTGGTTTCCTCTACTAAATGATAATAAGTGCCAGTTTATCAGGAAGTAACGCATTCAGCTCTTGAACTATTCAGCTCACTCCATGGAAACAGTGCTTTATTCGCAAATGTTTCATGTGATATTCCAGTTTTGCGCATAAGTTAAATTTGCAACTTTAGATGGACACATAACTACTGTAAGTAAATTTACAATGTATTAAGTCAATGTACACTTGATTTGTTTTACTCCAATAAAGTAAGTCAAGTAAGATTGTTAAGTCCCAACCTACCCTAATCCAAAATACAGAATACCAGTGATAAAAACATAATGTTATATAATTACTGAAAATTCTGGCCAATACAATAAGCTGATAATTATTTTCATGTTATGGCCGATAATGGATGATATGCTGATCAATTATTAATGGTGTTATTAAATTAGTGAAAGCAAGTGAAATGAGCATGCAGAATTAAATATTCAATATTTACAGACACTGAAAAACTAAAAATAAATATTGGGATCACAACAGTAATAATGATATTTTAACAACAGTGTGAAACGTTTTTGAATTGATCTAAAATCTGTGGTGTAGATTTTTATTTTATTATATTTTGAGATGGAAAATTAGAATTTTGAATAAATCTACACTGGATATTATCATATCATGACCCAGGTATTGGTGAAATATCGCTGAGTCTCTTGAGATTTTGACCTCTAGTGCTTTGCAGTACTGGGGTATGTAAGCAAATAGCTGTCATTTAGCAAAGCTAGACAGAGCCAGCATAGGTTTCTAACATGATACTGTATATCCCTTCAATTTATACAAACACACAAAAAACAATTATGAGGTCTTTTTTTAATACTGCAGAAATATTTTTCTCCCCATCTACATGTGAATTGGCCCTTAAACTGTGTTTTAAGCTGTAACATGTTGGAGAATTTGCTGACTTGCTTCCTTTTGTGATTCATTAATGCACAATTTGGCGAAGTTTACAGGGAACCACAACAACCTGATGGTAATGAGCCAAAAGCTAAAATTAACCCTTGCTGTCTCAAACAATAATAAATAAATAAATAAATAAAAAAATAATTACTCCCTTTAGATGATGTGCAAAGTTAAATAAATGTGTTTAGGGAAAATTAGCACCTGTGGCTTTGCCTTGGGACCTGAAAAAATTAGTTGATTACAGGATATACATGAGTTGTTGCAATGCAGATCTGTTGGAAAATACATACACAGCTCCCCCTCATACAGTGCCTACAGTCAGAGCAGGCTATTTTTGGTATGACCAGCACTAGGGTTTATTGTTATAATTTAACAGTTCTACATTTCCTCCCACATAGTTTTAATGGGGGCCATTTCTGAGAAACCTATAGACATGAATCATGCATATTGGTCAAACTGGGTGCTTTCCAAATCTTTCTTTTTAGTGTGGCACAAGAGGTGGTCAGATTCAGGTCCATCAGTGCAGCATGATGTGGGTTGTTATGAAGTTTCCTGCTCTTATATAACAACTAACACTGAGATAACCTCAGATTCCTTCATCTGTGACTGAAGCCCTGAGGATTTTGACCAGTGAGAGGCTTTCAGATTTTGAATCTTTCTCTCTTCACTGCACACTGTTCATCGTAATGAAGCCTCAGTTGAGTGGTCAGGCTGGAACAATCTAAACTTTCTGAAGACATTTGGAAATGGAAGAACTTAGCAGAGACAGAGATGTCTTTATGGCAATGTTCATTTTGACAGCGAATTTTGATTTAGGTTTAGCCATAGTCTTTTGCCTAAAAATGCCATTTAGTTTTTGTCATATTTTAGTAATCTGAACTGTTAGTCTAATTTTAGTCGACTAAATATCATAAGATATCATATCTACATAAGATAAGAGACAAATACATACATTTGAACAAAGATACAAAATAAATAAATTGTGCTTTAATTTTGTCAAGTAGGTCTTAGAGTAGTATTCAGTATATAATTTTTTTTTAAATTTGTAATATACAAATGTAAAATAGTGCATATTCTTCTTTGTATAAATCCTTATTAAAGCTACTGAAGTTACTCAGTCAAGAGCAGTGAGTGATTTTCTCTTTGTGTTTTGTCGTTTGAATTAACATTAGGGACGGCAGTAGGTTTATAAGGACGCTATACTGTCACTTTAAGAACACACAGCTCATTTGATGCATATCTGATTTTCTCCCAACTGTTTACTTTCACTTAAGATATAACCAACTCAGTTTAAATGAACACTCACCAAAACAGGCAGTTAGAAATTGTTGTTGTGTACGTATGTGTCCTTTTAAGCGCAATATGAAGCGAAAGGAAACTCAATTCAGCACATTTACGCTGTCAGAGAGGCAGATAGTTCTCTTTTGCGTTTTATTTCACTTGAATAGTTTAAAACTAAAAACCTTCAACTGTCCCTGGCCATTGTGCAGTCCTTATTGTTGAGCCCTGTATTTGTACTGTAAATTTCTTTATGTTTTTGCTGAGGTTGTTATGTAAATGGTCTTGTTTTCCTGACATCAAATGTGAAATTTATCTGGATGTCTGTTTTTCTTTTTCTCACAGATGTTGACATTTTTAAATGTTTTATAAATCATGCAGCAATTTTATCCTATTAACCAACCGCAACATTAACCAATGCGCATCTAACCTTCCTACCACACAAAAAATTTCTTCGCAAATTGTCCCTCCCTAATATTTTCGTCTTGTTCTTATACGTTGAGAAGGACAGGTCAATAGATTACCATTATAGTTTTTGTCATCAAAAACTGTTTTTTATTACAAATTATTCATCAACGAAATGAATACTGCTTTGTGCTTTTTCTTGATAAAGCATGATGAAAATGGTTTCATTTCACCCTGAACACAACAGCTATTGCATCATTTGGATATTTGCACCTTCAAGTTAAATAAATAGTTATATTGCATGTGGATGATCCAGAAATGATTTTAGAAAGTTTTGAAGCTCCAGGAAAATTCCTGCTCTCTTCCCATGATAAAAGGGCTTCAAGGATAGTTTGAATTATGTTGTCATTCCTGGACTTGTTGTGATTGATTAATTAGAGAAGTGTTTTTTCCCCCTAAACATTTCAAATAACTACTTTTATCTGTTTTTTTTTTTTGTATATATAAATTATATTTAGCTCTAATTTAAATCTTATTTTTTCATAATTTTAGTATTTAAAATGTATTTTTTGCTTGCTTTTCACTTAATATTTATGTATTTTTTCAGCTTTATTTCAGTATTTCTTTTTAACTTGTTTTAGTCAACAATTACAACAGAGTCCAGTTTGAAAACCCCTGCCTTTCATCAGGAATAATCACAGGTTTTTACTTTCTCTGGTTGTCATCAAGCTACCTGTCATATAGAAACCTCTCCTAATGATTCAATCAATTCCTGATTAACATCCAACTAACATTTCACGTACTGTAAATAGCTGCAACGTGACGTGAGGAGTGTATGCTGCTTGTTTTTTGGTATGCCCTGATCATGTTTCTCTGCTTCTTTTTTGATTTCAGAGATGGCCGTCTGAAGGCAGGCAATGAGTTACTTATGATAAACGGTCATTCCCTTGTTGGACTCTCACACCAGGAGGCTGTAGCCATCCTGCGCTCCACTGCCGGACTCGTGCAGCTGGTGGTGGCCAGCAGGGTGAGTTTGGCCTTATACTACTAGCGTATGTCAGTAAGTGTGTGTCACTGCACGGCATCTTCACACACAAATCATGAGCTGTTCTTGATGTGTTCTTCGTATAAAGTGTGTCAGCTGTTCAAGCACATAAAGATGTCACAGGCAGATGCTTGTAGCAGCTAAAAAATTGAAGAGTGAAGCGCTGATGGGCTCGCCGCTCGGCTTTCCGAGATAAAGTTAAAAATACTCGCAGCCTGCTCAACGGCACACAACATGCTCTCTTCAGCTGCTCTTCCTTCCTTTCCCAGGATGAATCCGAAGTGGACTTCCACAAGTACCCGTCCACCAGCTTGCCCGACCTAGTGAGCACGTGCTCAGGTCCGGACGCCTCTCCCTCCCCCGGGGAGGAGAAGGAGAATATGGAGCCGGACATGGAGGACGTGAGGGCCAGCAGTCTTTCACTGCCCACCCAGGACTTGGTACGTATGCTTGCCGCCTATCAGCCTGATTATCTGCCACTTTCATCTGGTGCTGCCCTCAGAACGACAGACTGTTTTCTGTTTTTTATGATTAAAAGTTTGCTTTGTTGATAAATGTTCAGTGCTTTTAGAATAAATGTTTGTTAGTGCGAGTATGTGGAGTTAGACTTTCACTGTCGCCTTTTTGCGGTGTTTGATAAAAAGCACCTCCATGCACCTCCATAGTCTGATAAGTACAAGCTTTTCCATATATTTTTTAGGAAAATCAAAATACCTGCAGCATGTTGTGATTGAATATAGAGCTTTAAAGATAGCACAGTTGCTTTATCTGTTTACGTCGTTTGATCTGTGTGCCAGCCAGGGCCCCCATTTATGTTCTTGAGGTTTTATCTGTTGTTTCGCCAGAAAAATATTAGTGCCACTGCTTACCCAAGCAACCATTGGATCAGCATTTGTTTGTTTCATCACAGATAACAAATTATTCATTTGTTCTGCGCAAGCAGGCGCGCATCAAATCACTAATGCCACAAAGCGTTAATGTTTAATCAATACAAAATGAGACATTGCGCTGGTTTGGTGATCAGTGATGACAACAAGGCTAATGCCGGGCCGTTAACCGTTTCAGTGGCACACTGACAAGACCACACAACTCAACGTATTAGGGTTAAACTCTTGAGCGGCTGTTTTGTAGAGCAGCGCGCGCCCATGGTGCTCTGGTTGAGATGTTCTGCGGTGCAGAGTAAAGTGGGTCATTCACCGCCGCGCCCCCCCACTGCGTCTATACTGCATATCTTGCTTTCGGAATAAAAAAACTGAAAAAAAAACAGCCGTCCCGCCTGCTGTCTAATTACATTAGCATTCCACGGCTCCTGCTGAACATAGCCGTGAATCTGGGGCATTAATGCATGCTTTGTTTTACTGTGGAACAAAAAACTTTTGACCAATGTTATTTTATGGTGTTTTAGTGCCTATTAGTAATTTACTTATAGTGAAAATTTTTAAGCTTAAAAATAGCAAACAACACAGCAACAGATACTGTATAGTTCAATTTATAGCACTACATGTACATGACTTGATGACTTGATGAAAGATGGATGGATGGATTCGTAGATGGTCAGGTAGATAGATCTAGTTAATGCGTCTAAATTCAAGCGGCTTGATCTGTTAGATCCTCTGACAGGTATAATCTCCATTTGTAAATGCTAGAAAGTCATGCAAATATTTCCTTTTTCGCTATCAAGAGTGGATGAATCTTATGCAAGCGAGTCTAGACTTCAGTGAACGTGCGCCGCTGTTCGCATACACGCCAAACAGACGGAGTGGAATAATTCTGACTAAAATATACATTTCGCGAAAATATTTGTTGTTGGAATAATATGCCATACGTTGAATTTTAAACCTACAAGAAAATGTATTTTTATGATAGCATTAACTGTAAAGCGGGGTAATCAAATGTAGGCTAATATATTTACTAAACTCAGTGAATTAAAAATCATTGTTTTTGTTTGTTGATTGTAATGTTGTTGCAGTGTAATTGAGTTTTAAGTTCTTTTTTTTCACATAATATATTACATAGCCTACATGGTTATATTCACATTTGTTTTCATTGCCTTCAAAATGAACATTGTTTGTTGGATAACATTTAGCAGGGTATGGAATATTTTTATCCAAATAGAAAAAAATAGATTTTTTTTTTGTCCACATCGCCCAGCCCTACTGAAAATCTTTGCGTCGCTAGACAAAGACCATCTTAGCCTAGTTAAACATCAGTAGGATTTCCATTCGCCGCTGAAAAGATGAATACTTGTAAATAAAGGCTTATGGGACATGATGATGAGGTTTAAGGAGCCTGTAGTTTCCTCTCATCCTGTGTTCTCTATTCTCTAGGGAGCTGTCCTCTCCCTCCAGGCTTTAGTGTCTATTGAATGACGAGTGGGAGCTCTTAAAGACTGATAGGGACTGAAGGAGGAATAAACATTATGGTTTCCCATGATTTATTGACCTGGTACAGAAGGACTTCCTGTCATGTGCTATGTTTGTTTTTATTCTAACTTTACAGATGTTATCTTTCATAGGTCCTATGATTTTGAAGTGATACATTGTGGCTTTCTATTTAGTTATAATTTGGAAAATGTAGAAGGAAAATTGTGATTATCATTTCTAGACCTGGAAAGGTCGTGGGAAATTCTGATTATGAAAATTACAGCAACTACAACATCTGCTTGTTTTAATAACAAAGAGCATCATTTACATCCAGTAACAAGCTGACAGATCGGATAGAATATCCATAAATTGAAATCTTTTGCAGGATTGTGCTAGAGCTCAGCAGCATTCACACCTGTATGTGTATGGCTTTGGTTGCATTATGCAAGAACAACTATGCATCAGTGACCAGCAAATTGTTTCCCCCTCAGTATGGCCTGCTTTCAAATAATTCACCATCCAGAAATGGCTTTTTTTGTGAGTGTGATCTTGATAAATGTTTTTTTTTAAAAATCCTTATTCAATAATAATGTATGCCTGGAAAAGGCAAAGCAATGGAAGTTCATTGGTCTAAAAAGTGTGAGACCCTTTTAATAAGTTACAACACAGGGAATAAAAAGGGGAGTGTAATTAGGCCAATTCATGTTTCTGTTTGCCATATGCTTGCTTTCCCCTTTCAGTCTTCCATTCCGAATCCAAACACCTGTCTAAACTGTTCTCACACTCCCTTTCAGCACCCTGCCATAGCAGAAGAGGGCGATGAGCGGTTGCTAATATGTGGGCGTTCAGTGCTGACAGTGTTAGGCGTGTCTCCAGATCTGTTCTGAAGTGTCAGGCTCAGTAGTTTTGATGAGACAAAGGGAGGGAGGGGAAAAACATTTTCAACAAAATAGGAAAGGGAAGGATCTGGAAGAAGAGCGCAGCTGTGACTGTCACGTTGAGTCCTGTGAGGCACGGAGGTGTGGGGTTTGAGGAAGCCCATAGGCTCACCTGCAACAGCTCAGTCTAGCTTGTTCATGCAGGAGACAGATCTCATATCTGACAATGGAGAGAAGGGCTTTCTGTCTGCATGCCTGAAAAGAGAGCAGTGTATCTTCCCCTACATGTTGCTGTTCAAACTTGTTTCAGGACACAGGAGCTGTGTGAAACTGAAGCTTGTTTTTTTTTTGTTTGTTGGTTTTTTCCACAACAGCCAAGGAGGTGCAGTATTAAAGTGGTGCAAGAACTTACTTCCAAATGCCATTGACCTCTATTACAAAAATAAATGCACTAAAAATATTTTAAAAACCCTAAGTCTTTATTTAACCTTATATTATGCAGAATTTTTCCTGGCCTAAATATCTGCAGTCGTAGCTAACAAAGACTTCTGAACATGTAATGTTAACTATATAATTGCAGTTAATTAACACAATGACTTAATTGCATTTTATGTTTATAGTTATAAGTGATCATTTTGAATTGACCCAGAATTTTCTTCTGCAAAGTGATTTTAGAGGTTACAATATAAAACCAGAGATAGACATAATAGTCCCATGCTAATTAAAAGAAAAAATAGCATCAATTATCGTTACATTTGCACATGTTGGGCTGCCAAAAACATCCGTTCAAAAGTTTTGGGTTGGTCAAATCTTTTGATGTTTTTTTTGAAAATTGTCTCTTTTATTCAGTAAGGCTGTGCTGTAAAAACAGTAATATTGTGAAATATTATTATAATTTTTAATAACGAAATTTAAATTATATTTTTATATATTTAAAAATGGCATTTATTGGTGTGATGGCAAAGCTGAATTTTCAGCATTTTCACATTTTTTTTAGGCTTTAGTGTCACATGACCCTTCAGAAATCATTTTAACATGATGATTTGTGCAAGAAACATTTATTATTTATTATTATTTATTTATTATTAGGATCAATGTTGAAATCTGCTCACCTGCTTAGTGTTTTTGTGGAAACTATGATAGATTTATCATCAGGATTCTTTGAATAGAAAGTTTAATCTAAACAGCTTTTAGATGAAATGGTAATCTTTTGTAATATTATAAGTGTCTTTAATGAAAATGTTTAGTAAAAGTCTTAGGTCTTGTCCACACTAATATGTTTTCGCTTAAAAATGCATCTTTTTCTCTTTTGTTTTGGCCTTCCGTCCACACTGAGACTGCGTTTTTAGCAATACAATGAAAATGTAGCTTTTGGAAAACGCTCTCCTAAGTGGATATATTTGAAAATGCCGTTTTCACTTTGTAGTGTGGACTGTGCAAACGGAGATATTTAAAAACGACAATGTATAAAGTTTAGTCAGATGACGCATATTGAACCCATAGATATTTGTGTTTATTGTGCCTGTTTTGTGCTATTGACTTTCACACTGTTGCTAAAATATGTCACTTTGGACACTCTTCATATCACAGTCCTTCTAAGATAACAAAAAATTAATTTGCATTTGCTGTCCTGCGGCAAAGCGTGAGAGCAGTTGTGTTTAGACTAAACATATAATGGTGAGTGCGACCTGGACGCATCAGGGAATGGTGGGATATTTGGCTGAATAAAATGATCCTGCCAGAAGAATTGTTTGGTAACTTGATTATGTCTTATGTCCTGTCTATCTCAGTGAGCTTTTATGAGGGTTTACGTATGCACAATGAATAAATGGTGATTTTATTTTTTCCGACGTTCAAGTGTGGATGAGAAACTTTTGGACTGAGAGCGTTTTGAAACGATTAGTGTAGATGTAGCCTTAATGACCCCAAACTTTTGAATGGGAGTGTAGTGTTTTTTTTTTTGTTTTTGTTTTTTTTTTTTATTAAACTTTGCCGAAACTACAAGGAGAAATCTAAAGCAATAGATGGCAAATTTATATAATTGAATATGTATTGAAATTAGTTTTGCAAATCTGTACTGTTTAGGGTAAACAGATTAATTGGTTCATAGTGGATCACTTGAGCAAAGGCACATTTCAGTTCCACACCTCCAAGTAGACACCATGAATGCATTGGCTTTCATGTACACATGAGATTTGATCTCCCTCTGTGAAAATAAGAAAGCATTCACCAGCGTGAGTGTGCAACATTCCTTACAGTCCTGCACAGTGAAGGACAATTAAATGTTTATGGCTTAGAGGAATTGTCACATGAAACAGAGGAATTTTTACTCCATTTGCTTGCGCCACTGTTCCTCATTTAAAGGGCAGTCTGATGTCTTCTGTCTCTCTCTCTCTGTTCAATGCATGTTCCCTAATTCCTTCTGCCTTCTGTCTTTTTAAGTTTACAGATCTTGACAGACTGGAGGAACGTGGCAGGGTTGAGGGTCCCAAAGGATGCCGAAGCCCCACACCGATGAAGTTCCGTAGCAGATCCCAAGGTTAAACATGTCCAGTTGAATCAAGTCTAAACATTGCTGTGCTGAGCATCAAAACTTTGTAATGAGATTAAACTGTATTGGATACTGGCCAAGGGTGGATCCACCAATTCTAATTTCTTTATGATAGATTAGGGGTGGGCGATCTTCCCATAACTTCATATCACAATCTTATAACAAACAATCACGGTCCGTGATCTGAATCGTGATCTTCCCAATTTTGAGATATACTATTGAAAATATCCAATCTGGAACAAGCCTATGGATTTATCTGTTTACACAATTTAAAGCACAGTAATTGCATTATACAATCAGTTGTCAAAATAGTCATTAAACATTAAAACTGCATTGTTTTCACTATATGAATCAAATATATTTTAAAACTGCTTAAGTTATTTAGTCAGTTATAACATTAATGACTCAACAGCAGGTATTTGCATTATGCTTTAAAACCGAATGCATAGATCTAATATAATGACACCCATCTGATTTCTTTCCCAACTGTTTATTCACTTAAGACACAGCTTACTGTCTTTATGTAAATACTCACCTAGACAGACATTTTGGCACATTTTTGTTTATATTTGACAGTTTAGGTGCGCGTCTAAAACCCCAGGTACACTTTTCTCGTCCGTGTTCCACTCCGTCACACTGAAAGCACGTGGGGGTCAGTCTCTTTCACAGTATAATGTGCTTTTAATAACTCTTTTTAAAATAAAGCATGCCTCGCAGTAGACTGCATCATACGACAATCCCGTTAAATAATTTAACTGGTTTGTAAGTTAAGTTTGAGGGGCGTAAGCATACAGTTTTAAAGAAAAGGAAAAGTATGCGGCAATGATCATTTTATCTCAATTTTCACGGTTGAATAATCGATGGATGCCGAAATTCATGGTACAACCCATGATAGAGACACTTGATATAATATGGCTAGTCCGCACAGACATCTAGTGCGCGGATCATAGCTGCAGTTTAACATTATTACATAAAAGGTCACAATCTCTATGATTCGCTTGAAAAGTAGTTTGTGGACATCTTATAAAATAGTCAAATCGCCCACCACTATGATAGATAGATTCTGGTACCAGGTCAGGGTGTACTGAAATAGTTCACATAGATTTTTTTAAAATTATGCTCGTTAATCAGCAGAGACATTCAGACATGGAGATCAGTTTCTCCCGCTGTGAATATAAATGACTGAATTAAGAGTTTACATTTCAAGTTAATGTCTTGATGTCGTTATGTTTAGGTGGAGGGAGCCGCCTGGAGTCTGTTGGCGAAGATGATGAGCTTATCGTGGAAAATGGTGATCCAGGAAGTGAGGTGGCAGAAAAGCCAGTGCGAGGAGGACGCAAACATTCCCTCCCACAGCAGCTGGATACTGTTGGTATCCGACAGGTAGATGATTCGTTTGGATTTATTGCCTTATTCAAACCGTGATTCTTGGAGTCCTTGAATGCCTCACAGTCTATCGTACATGGTTCCAGCTCCATTCTGTGATGCCACAAAACTAAAATTATTATGTTGCATGGCCACTTCAAATACAGCTCATCCAGTCTTTACATGTGGGTGGAAGGTTTCCCTTAGCTGTGCTAATTACAATGCTTGTCCAAAGTAAATTGAAAGATGTGTGCATAGTTTAAACCTACATCAGAGCTTCATCTTTTGTTATGTTAGTGCTATGTAGTCTCGTCCTTTACTCAAGTTAAGGGACAATGTACATTTTAGTTTTTCTTAAAATATTAGCAAAATAAACCCTAATAGGATGATCAGATATTGTGTAAAATATAAATATATATCATAAATTAGGTGGGCATTGTCTCTTGGTAGCCCCTACCAAGAGACAACAGTCAAAATTCACAATTTCAAAAATTCACAAAAGTCACAATTTAGCGTTATTATTGAAAAGTGTGTGTGTGTGTGTGTGTGTGTGTGTGTGTGTGTGTGTGTGTGTGTGTGTTCCAGAGAGCCCTGTAATAAACCTAAATATAGTGTAGTTTATCTAGTCTCAGTTTGTTTGTTTTTCTTTACAATAACATTAGCACAACAGTATTTACATTTACATTCTCTTTGCTGTTCCTTTTATCCAAAGTGACGGATGAGGAAAAACCTTAACAAAGCATTTCATAGGAACGGATTACTGGCAGTAGCTGCTTATTTCCTTGTAACCAGTTAAACACAATAAAAATAAAGCTTATTTTATCATCTCATTGTTTATTCATAACCTCTTTTATCATCCTCTTCAGGAATATCAAATCGTGAAGAAATCGGCCCGTTCCCTGAGCACTGTTCAAGTGGAGTCTCCATGGCGACTGGCACAGCCATCCATAATCTCCAACATTGTCCTGATGAAAGGACAGGGCAAGGTGAGGGAGGCCCTGCACCCAGGACAACACATGCAGTCACCATGAGGGTTCACATATGTAGCACTTTACATATAAACTGCTTTGATCCTGTTGGTCTTTTTTTTATTTAGGGGTGATTCACTCTGTGATTTGAATTGTAATGAATGGGATATAGAGATGGACAATGAAACCTCTGTGCAAGGACCGTTACATTTACCAGATACGTCAACACCTGTACTATTGTAAATCCAGGCTCATCGAGATGTGTCTTTGAATGTGTCTAGGGTCTCGGCTTCAGTATTGTCGGTGGTCAGGATTCGGCCCGGGGGAGGATGGGTATATTCGTCAAGACCATTTTCCCCAATGGAGCAGCTGCAGCAGACGGGAGGCTGAAAGAAGGTAGATCACAAAACAGTAGCTCTAATACACTTGGAACAATTGTCATCAAAGCAGGTGGTAGGATTTTAGTTTTTTTTTCTCCACTTTTCAGGTGATGAGATATTGGAGGTCAATGGAGAGTCTCTCCAAGGGCTCACGCACCAGCAGGCCATTCAGACCTTCAAGGTAAACTGCTCAGTCATCCTCAGAAACACCTGTAGCTGTGCATGAATCCTCAGAGAAGAATTAGATCCAGACTTTTCATCTCAGGCCCATTTCTATGAATAATTTTATGAAAGGCAATTCCTTGGAAATCTAACGTGTTAATCCCAACCAGCATTAATGGATGGCTTTTTCCTCCTTTTCAGCAACTGAAGAAGGGGGTAGTTACCCTAACGGTGAGGACCCGTCTGAGAAGCCCCAGTCTTACACCCTGTCCCACGCCAACCCTTCTCAGCAGATCCAGCTCTCCAAACTCGAATGCCAGTGGTGGGACTCCAGTCCCTACTAGCTTTGAAGAGGGGGACTCTCGTAGGGGTCCTGGTCCCAAGGATCGCATTATCATGGAGGTTACATTAAACAAAGGTATGATCAAAATGTAAAGCGCTTTGGTGGCCATTGGGTCTGTGAAAGCGCTATATAAATGCAGTCCATTTACCATGTCTTTTTGATAAAAACAAATGCAGTAAGTTGCAGTTTCAAAAGTTTGGGGTTCAGTAAGATTTTTTTTCCTGGAAAGAATATAATACTTTTTTTTTTTTTTTAACAAAGATGCATTAAATTGCTCAAACATGACAGAAAAGATATATATACTTTTACAAAATAAATTTCAAATACATTTTTAACTTTTTTTTTTATCAATGAATCCTGAAAAAAAATCTATCAGGGTTTACACAGAAGTATTAAGCAGCACAACTGTTTTCAACACTGATGATGATAATAAATGTTTCTTGAGCACCAAATTATCATATGATTATGATATGATTTCTGAAGGATCATGTGACACTGAAGACTGAAGTAATGATGCTGAAAATTCAGATTTGCCATTACGACACTAAATTACATTTTAATTAATGTATTTTAAAATTTATGTAAATAAAAAAAAAAATCTTAGTGACCCCAAACTCTAGACCGATAGTGTATATAATTTTTTTGTACATTTTGTATTTTTACATTTTTTTTATCTTGAGAAGAAAACATTGAAACTGATAGGAAAACGTTATTGCAACACTCCTTGCCATTTGAAATTGACACGTAATATTTTTTATATATGATAATTTGTATATAATTTTTTTGTACATTTTGTATTTTTACATTTTATTTATCTTGAGAAGAAAACATTGAAACTGATAGGAAAACGTTATTGCAACACTCCTTGCCATTTGAAATTGACACGTAATATTTTTTATTCCAAGAAAATAGAATTATTTTAACATTATTTTTATTCGAATAGACATGCACCTGTGCATCAGTATAAATGTGTGTATAAGCCAAGCACTCACAATGTGTGCAAATAAACCATCCTGCCAAAAAACTCTTATTCTTGGATCGCCATGCTAATAAATAGACCCAAGGAGCGTCTTTCTCATTATTTGAGTTACTTATTCAGTTCAGGGACACCACATATTTCTCTGCCATGAATTATATTATTGCAGTTTGTAGGCAAATATAAGTCTTTTAAATTAAAGACACTGGGCTTGGTTTCCTTTAGGTTCATAGGGTACTTTTACCTCAGCATTTTTTGGATCTAACTGAGAAACCATTAACACTTTCCCACCTGTTATGTCAAGATATCTGTAATACTTTTTAACCAGGATAAATGATATAAATAAGACTGAGAAATCCTGCATGAAGTGAACTAAAGAATTTAGCCATGTTGTTTTGTGTGTTTTAGAGCCAGGTGTGGGGCTGGGCATCGGTGCCTGCTGTCTGACACTGGAAAACAGTGCTCCTGGGATCTACATCCACAGCTTGGCACCAGGTTCTGTTGCCAAAATGGATGGCAGACTCAGGTAGTCTCTTGTTATGTATCGTTCGTTTCCCACCCAAGTCTCATGTACAAGTGCTCAATGGTAAAATTAAAGTACATTAGTTCTTATTCAAGTCTCAGTTTGTCAATGTTTAACAGTGGTTAATCAGTAGAAAAATTGGCTCGGAAAGAAAATGTCCCTTTTTAGTTCAGGTACTTTTCTAAGAAAATAATAACACATTTCTAAGAAAAAAAAATTATGAAATGACTCCTCCATAGCTAATGCAGTGAAATGTCCTAAACTTTCCATGTAGTTATAAGTGAATGGTGCTGGTTTGTCCGAGTTAGCAGACTGGATCGCTTTGAGCAATCATCTTAAATTCTTAACTTACTGTTAATTAAGGAAGGGAGCGGCAGGAATGAGACCTCACTAGGGAAAACAATCGCATAGATATTCATTTTCCCTATAGAGCCCGCGATGTGTCTGTACACGTGTTTGCAGCTTTCAGTTGCGAGTTTGTGTGTCTGTGGCGCGCTCACTCCTGTTTAGATGAAACACCTCACAGACTGAAAAAGAATGTGCAATAAGAGCCAGAAACCCATGAATGGGGGTCTTTATGGCAAGAAATTGTGGTCTTGAATGTTGGATCTGGTTGTGAAAGTGGTTGCAGCTGCCTGAATGGAAAGATAAGGCTGTAATACACTTTCAGACATGTCTATTTTTACAACAAATGCAGTTGGGTTGACACTTAAAATACCTTTTAGACTGTATACATCAACAGTAATCTCCAATATCATATGGTGTATATTATCCACTCTTGCTCAATGGTCTAGGAACCAAATATATTTTGGGTGTGATAATTGAATATAAACCTAATAAATCTCTTAAATCATATGGATTTAGTCAGCTAAAAATACCTAGGGTTCACTCCAAACATGTGGAGACAGTGTTAAGTTATTATGCCACTCACAGCTGGAACCAGCTTTCAGAAAATATCAGATGATCCCCTGCGGTACATTCAAGTCCAGACCGATGTTAAATTAGCCAATTTAGGTTGGCAAGATTTCATTCATGTTTTTTCATTCAAGTATTTTATGCTCACCAAGGCTGCATTTATTTGATAAAAAAATACAGTAAAAACAGTAATATTGTGAAATATTATTATAATTTAAAATAACCATTTTCTAAAGAAATATATTTGAAAATATAATTTATTCCCGAGTTTTATTGTCACATGATCAAAAATCATTCTAATTTGATGATTTGGTACTTAAGAAAAATTTCTTATTATTATCAATGTTGAAAACAGTTATTTTTGTGGAAATCCTTTTCCCTATGGAAAATACTGTTTTGGGGAAATATTACTTCTCTTAAAAACATTTTTTTTTTGATCCAATCCTTGATTATAATGGCTAATGTGTGTATTTGTGTATCAGTCGAGGAGACCAGCTTCTGGAGGTGGATTCTGTGAGCCTGAGACATGCTGCGTTGAGTGAAGCCTATGCTATCCTGAGTGAATGTGGACCCGGCCCGGTCAGCCTCATCATCAGCCGACATCCAAACCCCAAAGTAAGAGTCAAACACAGACACATATGTGGAGCCTCACCATGGTATCTTAAGCATCAATATAGAAATTGCTATATTTTAACCATCAACTGAGATTGCAAAAACCAAAAAACAAAATTTAAATAAATATCGTATGTCCATAGAAATATTAATAAAGAAAAAAACTAGGTTTCCAGAACCTGGCTTAATTTATGAATAAATATACCTCAAACATCAGTTTGGTGATGTGGTCACACTCCTTCAGCTTCAGTCACAAGGGCCTCATCCTCTGCCAGACTGCTGCAAGTGGAAATCAAAAGAACCATACACCTGTTAAGCTGTAATATGCTTCTAGTATGAATCATTGAAGCCCGACAAAAAGTAAACAACATTCCTCTCCCCCTTCTGCTAGCGCGACTTGGTTTTCATCCACCTAATGGATCAAGATGTTGAGAAAAGTGCACCGGGGTGGGGAACAGCGGGAGATTTTGGTGGTTAGAATATGCTGACTGTTCACTCGACCTGATAAATGAGAGCCAGCAGTGTTACTAGCTTAACACATATTGTGCGTGACACGAGGTCAGAAGCCTTTCTCACAAAGGTCATTAATTACTTAACTCTGACAGGTTTTATACATGGTTTAAGTATCAGTCGGCATGTTGCCTGTATGTGCAGATGGGTTTTAATGATTGCAGGTCTTCCTGTAGACTGTAGAGGCTCATGACTGATCCAGATGAGCTGTAAAAGTGCTCCTTGGGTGGATTTGTTGTTAAAGACAACTAGGTTTTTAAACCTGTTTTTGCACTCAAGATGTGATGTGTTTCTTTTATTATGTTACATTTAATCGGTTTTGTTGAATTGAGAAAGACTTGTATTGAAGTCAACAATAAAAGTCAACTGAAATAGATCTGGCAAAACCTGATCTCATCTCGAGTCAGTTTGGCCTAGAATTGTACAAAGGCAAATAGGGATCTTCTTTAAGCAGAGTGCTTAAAAGTGTGGTATCAAAACATCTAGGCTAAATGGTTTACATTATTTAACTGTAATAATGTGAAATACCAAAATACCGGTATCATACATTTCTTAATGGTTTTTTTTTTTATGTCTGAATTTATAATGATGAATTTTTTAAGAGTCCATGTCAACATTACCTTACACAGTATGGTTACAATCAGTACGTTTAGTTTAATAAAGCAGAATTATGAAGCAGATTTAGGCAGTGTGTATATTGCTTAAATCATAGTGCCGCCTGGTGGTCAGAAATGTTATTTTGTCATTTGCCTCATTTTAAGGTAAATATCAGATCAAGACATTTATACTTGATTAATCAAGGATATAGCAATGATTTTGCATGGTCTATGAGATTCAATGGCTCTTATCTCTCCCCCTCAGGTGTCTGAACTGGAGATGGATGAAGTGATCACTCGCTCCACGCACAGAGATAGTCATTCTTCCCACACACTTGGTAAAGTGCCTTTGCCCTGGTCTGACTGCAACCACTTTTGACTGTGCTTCTCATGGCTTTAAACTGTGCTTCTCATGGCACTTTTAAACCCACCAAAAGGCCACTGTCGTGTAAATAAACATCCAGAACGTATTCACTTTTTTCTTTTCAGTTGAAAACTGTCATGTAAACGGGCCTTAAGTTAATAACTAATGATATTTAGCTAAACAATGACTTTCTTTTAGAGCTGCTGTACATCGAAAACAATCTTTGTAACATTAATTTATGTTTAACTGTAAAGCTGCTTTAAAATAATCTCTATTGTAAATAATGCAATATAAATTAAGGTGACTTGACTTTTAGTAAAAAAAGAAAAGAAAAGAGAACTAGTCAAATTCTGAAAAGCTCGGTTTTGGCTTTGATTTATGAAATTTTGTGCTTCATATTAAGTTTCCAAATATTTGCTTTGAAATTCTGATTTAGTTGTAGTCTCTGATTAGTAACTGGAAAACAGTGATTTGTACCACAGCAAGTTTCCAAGTTGAAGAAGTACAATGTATTTTTCTTTGTGCTCTCTTTTTCAGGTCTGCCGTCAAAGAGTCCATCTCCCACGGTTAAAGTCAAGCAGGGTGAGGGTAATCCTGCTCTCAGCTGGACCATGAAGAGATTCCTAGAGCCAGCCAGCAGGGTAAACTAGAAGCTTTAGTCTACAGAGGACTCAACTTGTCCAAGATAATAGACTTGGAGTTTATCCAAATCCATAAAACTTTTCTTTATTTACTTGAAATTTACATGAAAATGTCTCTATTATCTCTGCAAACCAAAGAAATATGGCAAAAACACTTTTCAAATAAAACATTCCACAAAAACACTTGCTAGATTTCAAATGACAAAGCAATGTGCTCAAAATTAGGACCACTGACTTTTTACATCCACCTAAAAATCGCCCTGTGTTGATAATTAAAAATTAAAAAAAAGCATTTTACATCTAATGCAGTGGCATTCAGACATTTTTCATTTTGAAGTGTCCGAATACTTTTTGGGAGCCATTGATTGCAAACTTCTAAATGTTGTTGATCTTCAGAAAGATTTGATTTTATGACTTCATCTGACCCTACAGCAAGGCTCATTGAGTTCAGAGGCAGAGCTCGCTCAGTATTTCTCAGTTCACGATGTACCCAGCCAATCTTCCCTTTCTGAGACCATGGCGATGGGATCCAGTGATGATGACATGCTGCATTGTAGCAGGACCTGTATTACGTCCATGGAGGAATCAGCAGCACCTCAGTCACATGGTAAGGCCACTGAATCTAAAGTGTCATGCTGATTTAAAGATCAGTCACAGTTTGTCACTAAAACAGTGTGTTTTTCTGTCCTGTTATCATAACAGTCTTCCGGGATGGTTCCACTAGAGGTTCGGATAGTAGTCCCACTACCCCAGAATGTTGTAAAGCTTCAGGCAGGGCTGGTTGCACCGTAGACACGGCCCAACAGGCCAGCGTGGGAAGCAGCCCGAGTTCTGTACGTAGCCCACTTCTCCGTCAGCGCCGGGTCATCTGCTACGAGGATGAGCCCAGTGACGACGAGACCGGACTTGAAGAAGACAGTGGCCCCTTTCGTCGCCGTCTCCGTGGGGTCTCAGAGGTCGGCCACCATCACCACCAAGAGGACGACTCTGGAATTATTATAGCCACATCATCTCTTGAAGTCGATGATGAAAGCCAGGATAGTAGCGAAAGCCACAGACAAATCGGTAGCGAGTCAGCCACTCCGATCTACGGCAGCTCGCTTGAATCTGAGGAAGGAACTAGCGGCCCTCCTGGCTCCGAATCGCCCTTCATGCCCATTCGCTGTGTGGAGGCAGCCGGAGGAACAAACCTGGGCATCAAGAAAGAACCCCATCGAGAAGGGCTGGAGGTTAAACGCTCACCCAAGCTGGAGCACAAAGCCGTGACTCGTGTCAAGAGCATGATGAGCATTGAGTGCCCTAGCCCTCCACAAAAGGCCAAGGGTGAAGAACCAACTTTACTCCCAGCAACCCCCGTCCAGGTAACGCAGAATAGCCCACGGCCGCCCTGCAGGATGCTGCACTGCAAGAAGGGTGAATCCAGCGAGCTTGCGGGGGTCTGCACCATTGAGACAATTGTGCTCCAGCGTGGTGAGACCGAGTCTTTTGGTTTGGATCTGGAGATTAAGTCCGCTCCACTCAAGGTGCTGATCACAGGACTTAGACCAGGTGGTGTTGCGGAAAGGGTAGGTTGGAAATTGCGATGTTGTTTTGATTGATTGTGATGCTTTTTAACATTCAGCCAATGCTGTATCCAAGAAAGACACTTTTTAAAAGAAGAATGCCAATTTTACTATTGAAATGATCACATCATTTTGGAAAGTAAATAGCATTAATTTGTTTTTATTAGTTTATTATTCAATACAACGATTAAATGCTTTACAATTCCCATACCTACTGTTTACATGATGCTTAGTGCCAGGCAAGTGTCCAAATTCACACAGCTGTTTATGCCTGAATCTGTGCTTGACGCTTAAATCTGATGAATGTATTTCACCCATTTATTTCCTTTCTATTCCTTTAGGAAGCCTCAGGGAAAATGAGTGTTGGTGATGAGATTGTAACAATTGGTGACACCCCTGTGTGTACATCCACCTATCAGGAGATCTGTGACCTCATGCACAACCTGCCAATCACATTGAATTTAGAGATTAAGAAGCCAGTCTCAGGTGAGTTGGCAGCATATCTATTGCTTCTTTAAGTTAACGGATGATAAGTCGATTATAGCTTTGGTGATTTTTTGTTGTTGTTTTTTTTTTGCGATGTATGTCTGGTCAATTAAATGTTTCAAAAGAAGGGTGATCCCTTCAAATGAATAGTTTACCCCAAAATGAAAACTCTCATCATTCACTCGCCCTTATGTTGTTGCAAACCCACTTGATTTTCTTTTTTTAGTGGAACACACAAGGAGAAATTTTTTCCATGCAGTTACAATTGACCTTTCACTGGCCCCTACCGTTTCCAAAACTGAAAACACAACGTGAGCGGTGCCTACAATGTATAAACAGTGTGGACGGCCCCACTCCCAGTTAAATGTGTCGAACATGGTTAATTCGCATGCAGCGTGCGTGAGACTGGGACACTGAGATTAGTCACTATAGGGGAAGCATGAAGCTTACTTGACAACATCAGTTCATATATCAATATCATAATTAATAGAAATAACCTAAAATAATGTATGGTTATCTGCATCTTTCTTTCTCTTACGTATGATTACTTTTCAAATGCAGCATGACACGCAAGTGGTTGCCATGGTGATGAACATCCTGCTTGTTAAAGTGAATGTATAATCCTGTGAGGCAAAATTACTAAATATGCAGCGTAAGTTGTATATTTCTAACTGCAAACAAGTATCCACTGAACCAGCTTATAAAATCCTCTTTAAGGCTGTGCTGGTTGTATTTTAGGTAAGTTACAGGTCATGGGGTTTATCAGATTTCGCTTGAGATTGGTATAAGCATTCGCCTTAATAGTAGTCGTGTCTCCTTCATTGCGTATTTTAATATTTTGAATATAGACCATTTCCCAAGATGTAAACAAAACTGGTCCAGAAGCACTTCCTGTTTCAGTTTTTTAACACGACATAAAAGCTGGGATAAAATACAACCAACAGAACATTTAAAACTGAATCAAAAAGTTAAACAAACATCTTTAAGATGTTTTCTTTACATGTGAAATAAAGAAAACAGTTACAAACTGAAACAGGAAGTGCTTCTGGACCAGTGTTGTTTACATCTTGTGAAATGGTCTATATCTCTCCACTGCATACTGTAACCCCTTGTGCCTCGATCTGGAGGATATCGAGGAGGTATTGCTCCAAAAAAAAGGTCACTGACACGCACGGGTATGCGTCTTCCTGTCATGACAATTTGTCGTGCTGGTCATGTTTGACCATTTGTTTGATTGGTGTATTAACAATTACTAGGGGCGTGGCTTTTGCGAACAGTGAATTAATGGTGACTGACGTTTAAATCTTAAAAAGAACACAAATTAACCATAACAGCACCATAAAACTGGTCCAAAATGATTACTCTCACAAATAACTTATAATAGTGCACAGGTTTGGACTGCTTGACTGATTGTATGGTGCTTTTGCATTATAATTGAATTTAAATTAGTCTTAAGATATTCTTCTTTTTTTGTTCTGTGGAAAAAGAAAGTCATAAGGGGTTTGAATCAGCACGAGGGATTTCATTTTTTAATAAACAGCTCCTTAAAATATAACTTTTATATAGTCACAAGCTATTTTCCCTAATCTGATCAAACATCTTCTGCACACTACATTGGCACAATATAATCATACAAGTCCCAAGTTACATCTACATCTAGAGATCAAATGTTACGAATTTGATATCATCAAGAATAGCTGTCAGTTCTGTGTTATAGTGTCATAATGCTGTAGATGGCTTGTTCAAATATTGTCCATATCCCCTCCTCCCTTACTGCAGGCTATGGTGCTATAGCAAAATCAAAGCTGAACCCTAAATTATATATCTCAATTTAGCAGGATAAACAGGTCTTGTATATCCTTTACAAAAGACCATTAGGACAGGTAGATTTGCCGCTGCAATAAAGAGATCAGTCTGTCTTTTCCCATGCTGCTTTAAAGAGGTAGGAGTGCTACAGTCCTCCCCTTTCTGGCAGTACCCTACTCCAGCTCAAAGGGAACTGCAGGCTGCTGGCTATTTGTCAATGGTGACTATTGATTACTTTACTACCGTAGCCACTGTAGATGTGTAGAGTAACGGCGCTAATGCTTCCTAGAGACTGTTAGTCAATTAGTATCTAGATTTGGTGTTATTGCTCTGACTGACACATTCAAATTTTATTCAAATTTAATTTTGGTCAAAACATTTCCTACTCTTTTGAATCTCATCATGCAGAGCAATAGCCTCAACGAACAAGTGAAATGTAGTGTATTAATGTCATGCGTCTGTCATTGTCTGTCTAAACCTGCCGTCATCACGTTTATATATGATTGATCATGTTCATCATATACAGCATATGCTCATATACATTTATGTAAGCATGAGCATTTATCAGTTGTGTGTCTGATATTTAGAATAACATGCACATGTTGAGTGCACTATAATGTCCAGTGAAATATCTTTTGAATGCATGAAATATTTCAGGAAATTGTGAATGGAATATTCAGAGATGTCTGCTTCAGGTAAAACTGAATAAAGTCTTAGGAAATATGCCGATGCCAGTGTTACGTCATTGGGGAAAAAAATTTCTCTGCACTTTGTCTTTGAATCCCAACAATCCCTTGGTATGTTCAGAGTGAGACTCACATTTTTTCTCAGAGATATTGTTTCATAGTAGTCCAAAGTTTTCCACGGTTTTTTTTTCTGTTTTGCTGTTTTTTAACATCACTAATGAACAACAGAATCAGAACAAGTTTTGAATCTGTGAAATATCAGACTATGGAATGAATTGCAAGGGTATTGCTGTGGGTTTCTTTTAATTTAATTATGTACGCATATTTTAAGGAGACTGGAAAAAGGTTAGTATGAATATTTTCCAGTGGAATGTTGATTTAAAAAACATGCAATTTGTAGCTTGTATTTCAGACCTCAGTGGTGCACTTATATGGTAGGACTTGTCTTGATGTAGAGTCATATCCAGTGATTCTCTTTTTCTGTTCAAGGTTTTTAACCGCCTATTATTCAGTTGAAGTTTGAATTGTCATATGTGATGACCAGTGTTGATTAACTGACTTGTACATTTGTAGTAATTAAAAAAATAAACACACACATATATAAATATATTGTAATGTCTAACCATGTTGTATTTTTGTCCACATTTGCAGCTGTAGATCGACTTTCTAGCTTGATTATGTCCTCTGGCTGTGAGGGGTCATCAAAATTGGAGGCACCTAGGCCTCCTCCAGAGGAAAGGAATCATATGGACAAAACTTCAGTTGTGGCTCAAGAAAGTCCATCATCAGAAACAAATGCAAAACAGGAATTAGCAATCCACACCAACAGCATGCCTGTCACTAATATTGATGATGTAATAGCTGAACTGAACTCATCCGAAATCCAAGAAAAACACCAAAATGTATTGGGTTATACAGACACAACTACAAAAGAAGAGTGCAGTAAAGTAGATGACAGAGAGACTGCAGCGCCATCACAACCAAACCTGGATTTCTCTGCACTAGATGTAGGGAACAATCCTTGCCATTTTCCTGTAGGAAAGACATTTTTAAATAGTTACTCAAGAAACTTTAGTAATCTGGCAGAGGATGTTATCCCTCTTGAGAAAGACCATGGAGAGAAACCAAGTATGTACAGTCTGGTGGAGGATAGTGACTCTGAGAGCGACTCTGCAGTCAGTGCGGTCAAAATAGAGATGTCTCAAGGTCACTGTAAGGGTCCTCAGGACACTGACTCGGATGAAGAGGAGGTTGAGCTCTGTATCGGCACTGTCAGTCAACCCGCATTCAGCCAATCAGAGGGCAGTACTCCGGCTACTGTCAATGCTATTTCTTTCTTGCAGACTGTTGACAAGACATTTGCTTGTATGGATCGCCACAATTCTCCATCACCCTCAGCACAAGACAAGGATTCACAAGAGAGCAATCATTCACTCCTTAAGTTACCTGACAAGCTTTGTCCTCAAGTTTTAGATGATGTTCTTTTAAATGGGGATAGTGGACACACTCTCACACAACAGGAGGAAATGTGTGCATCTCAGAGAATACTATCAAACTGCAACACTGATGAAAAATGTGAAACCATTGTAAAGCCTGTTCAAGTCTCACAGGCAGGTGTCACTTGTTCCCCTGTTGCTCAACGCAACTGCCACGTCACCCCGAGAAGTCAAGAGAGGACTGCTAAGTTGCTCTCAGATGCATCCAAATACTCAGAGAAACTTAACACTGGACAAATACCACTGAGGTCAACTGTGTCAGAGCCCAAGGCATCAAATTATACCAGTGGCAAAACTAGTGAGCAGGTCTCCTCTACACTTGCTCCAAAAGACAAGGAGAGAGAGACAGTTCATTCCATACTTGACTTGAAATTATCCCTCTCCCAGGACCAGAGTAAATCCACCACGTGTTGTGTCAGATCTTTAGGAACAAAACCCCCTAATGACACTCCTGTCTCACCCCTGCTGAGAAGTAGACTCAAAGTTGATGATAAAAAGTCAAACACCTCTTCTAAACTCAAGGGTTTAAGTATTAAAAGTAAATCCAAAGACCAAGAACAGGCTGCCACTAGATCGCCCAGGGCCGAAAGCCCAGTACAGAAAAAAGCTCTTAGCTCCCCAAGTCAGTCTCCTAAACTCCACTCCAAAAGAACCACACCAACTGGTAGCCCTAAATTAACCAGACCTTCTGAGAAGATCAGGGTTTCTTCTTGTAAAACTGACAAAAGTCAGCCAACTGTGCCCAGTACCTTGAAGGCAAATCCCATCAACACAACTAAAGAAGAACTCAAGCCTTCCAAGAAGGAGCTAGTCTTGGATCTAAAGGAGCAAGTCTCGAAATTGGAGGTCCCTGTTGTCAGCACTCAAAGAACTTTCATTGAGGTACGACTTTCTTCCTCTTCATCGTCTACACCTGTGCTCATGCGCAAGGAAGTCGTGAATGCAAGCCATTTAAGCTTGGCCTCAGTACCGGTTGATCAAGTCGACTGGGAGGCATCAAGTTCTGACCCTTCTCTTGGAAGTCACACAATTCCATTACAATTAACCAATTCTTCATCTAGTTGTCCTCAGCACAGTGGTGCTAATAAGGCAAATGAAACTGCTGAGAAAATGCATTCCAATGGCCAGGAAGAAAGTCTCTTTAGGAACTCAAATAATAAAGATGCTACTTCTAGTCTCAAGTCAAACAAATCCAAACTGTACCTAAGGGGACTAGAACGCAGGAGCTGCTCTACAGACACCAGTGGGTCTCTTGACCCAAACCCCTTCTCAGTTCGTCAAAGAATCCAGTCCTTTGAGAATCTGGCCAGCTTTGATCGATCTGTTGTAAGGTGTATAGACATTCCGTTTTATGCTATTAATTCCAAGTCACCTCTAAACCGGAGGTATTCTGAGTATGCTGGATCTGTTAGCAGTCAATCCAATGACAGTCGTTCTTTGAGGAGGAGTTTCAGCTCATGTGTAGACAGTTTGAGCTCAACTCCATCTCTACCATATCCACAGAATTTGTCTTCTAGTTCCACCAACTCTGAATCCACTCCTTTGAACCAAACCACAGAAGCTGTTATGAAAGAGAAGGCAAGAATTAAGTCCTCTCAGAACACGGCCACCGTAAACACGCCACCAGTACTGCGCTCCCGCAATGCCCGTGCCCATGGAGGCCTGTCACGCTCCAAATTGAGAGAGATAAAGGCACTCAGCATGCCTGAACTGGACAAGTTGTGTTCTGAGGATTTTACCAGTGACCCTGGAAATGTGATCTTTAAGACGGAGCTGGAAATACACCCTTGCAGATCCATAAACACAGCACCACACAGCCTGCAGTGCACTATGATGACCACCAGGGAGAGCAGTGTTGACACTGGGGCTCTTGCTTCAACCAGTAATGGAGAGCAACATGAAGGCCAGGTCACAGGGTTATCATGTTGGTCTATAAGGTGAGGAAAGACCTGCTTATAGTGTGCAATGAAAAGAATATGTGTAAAGTTGATATTAGATGGATTGCAATGGTTTGCAAAACAAACCAATCGATGTTTCCTAGTTTTTCATTTTTTTTTTAATTTTGTATATTTTCAGTAGGGCTGTGCAAAAATTAATTGCGATTAATCGCATCCAAAATAAAAGTCTGTGTTTACATAATATATTTGTGTGTGCTGTATATAATTATTTTGTATATATAAATACACACACATGCATGCATGCATATTTAAGAAAATGTGTTATTCATATATAAAATATTTATATTTTTATAATATAGATTATGTATTTATATATATACAGAATTTAAGCGCAAATAATTCTTTAAAATATACATGCATGCATAGGTATGTACAAAATAATTATATACAGCACACACAAATATATTATGTAAACACAGACTTTTATTTTGGATGCGATTAATCGCAATTAATTTTTACACAGCCCTAATTTTTAGTGTCATGGTTATGTATTTCAGCTCATATCATAGTAATTATTTCATTATTTCAGTATTTCAGTACAAAAACACAATCAATGTTTTTTAACAACCATTAGTTCCTGGATAGGACAAACAGTTACAGCTGATATCGGTTTGTCTCCTGTGACAGTTTGAAAGACCTTGAATCTTCTCCTTTGGACCAACATAAAGTGCAAGATCTTCTGTGTTTCCTCACAACCAAAGTGAATGTGACCAGTCTCATACAGGAAACAAAAACTCTTTCAGAGGTAATTTATCATGTCTTTTGGCTTCATTTCAGTTTAATAAGATAATATTTGAAAGATTATTATTATTATTTATTATTATTTTTATTTATTTTTTGCATTAAGACCATCTAGAATTCTGAAGTTTCTTTTTAACGGATGAGGAAGATTTTGCCTTCAGGTGTAGCTCAAGGAATTACAGAAATGCTTTTATTTTGGCATATTCATCATTTTTATAAAGCTCACAATTGTTACTTAACTGTCACTTTTTTCTCTCTTCTTTTACTTCATTTTTAGTCATTATTTTTATGGGCCATATTCATAGCTTCATATATATATATTTTTTCATTTCAAAAAGGTTAACCAGTATTTCATTAATCTTTTTATCTAGGTTAAAGATGACATTTACTTTGTGATCTTAACCAAAGAGCAGGGATCTGGACTGGGTTTCAGTATCGCTGGAGGAGTAGATCTCGAGCAGCAATCTATTACTGTAAGCAAAACCTTTTATTTGTTTAAAAATAATAAATAAATGGAAAATTCAGTTGCATTTTTAAATACACATTGCCACCCCCTTGTGGTATTTAGATGAACCAGTAGTATTGTATAGAATCATCTAAGATTATTCAACTTATTCACCATCTAAACTAAGAAATATATATATTTTCTTAAATATTATTTTATAAATATTATATTATTATTTTTTATTTATTTTTTATTTCTTATTTTCTTTCACAGGTCCATCGGGTGTTCACTCGAGGGGTGGCAGGAGTGGAAGGTACCATTCACAGAGGAGATAGGGTTTTGTCGATAAACGGGACCAGCTTGAGTGGGATCACACACGGAGAGGCACTGTCCTGCCTTCATCAGACCAGACTGCCGAGACAAGCATTAGTGGTCATCCAGAAAGACAAGAACACTGAGCCAACATCAACTAGACAAGAACTTCCTCTTCAGACTATTGTCTGCCCTTCTCCTGGACATAGAGTCAGCATCAGGGAACATAAAACAAGTGAGTGTCTGGAGTCATTGTCACTCTCATGCTAAAGATAAACTCGTGGTCAGTCATTAACTTGTTGGGTGTGGTTTTGTGAAATTTCTAATTCAGAAAAAATAACCTTTTCTGTTCCTAATTGTCTGCTTGATGTGTTGTAGGTGTGGAAGTGGGGCCAGACGGGGCTTTGAGTGTGGAGTTACAGAAGACCACAGCTGGTCTGGGGTTCAGTCTAGATGGAGGCAAAGCATCTGCCCATGGAGATCGACCTCTCTACATAAAACGCATTTTTTGTGGTGAGTGCTCTACTCAAACATTTCCACCAGGGGGAGACAGAAGGTGTCATCTGTGAATCAAGAGAAAGCTGAGCAAAATAAATGTAAAGTGGAAAGTTCAGATTGTGTTTTCTCCGTCACCACACAGGAGGAGCTGCTGAGCAGTCCCGGGTCATTGATGTCGGAGATGAACTTTTAGCCATCAACGGCAGGTCTTTGCAAGGCCTTATGCACTATGATGCCTGGAACATCATTAAAATGGCCTCTGAGGGTCCTGTTCAGTTAGTCATCAGAAAACCGCGGACTTCAGTATGACGTCTGATATATCTGCATGTTTGTGAGATGCCAAACTGGGGCGGACTCTTAATTGTACATAGATTTTGCATTGTTTTTATATGTGTTTGATACAGAATCTCTATGATGAAGAATTTGTTGCACATTGATTTTTAAACAAGGCTTCTGCAGATTTGTGCGGGCTTAAGGTATTGACTTTTTAATTGTAAGAACTATGAATTATGTTAATAACTACATCCCTTGTATGATAGTTTTATACTTACAGCTTTTACATGGTGATATTGCAAACCACTAAAGAGTTTGTTCACTCTGCCTAATCTAATGGAATATGTCAACATATATATATATATATATATATATATATATATATATATATCACTCTGTGTGAATTATAAAGTGAGATTTTGTTTGAATTGGTTTGTGACTTAAAATGTATTTGTGGATTTTTTTTTCTTTTGTTTCTCTAAATCAATTATTGATTTATTAATTTATCTTGGTGAAGGTTAAAGGATGTAATTTTAGTGCTACTTAGAAATAGATACAGACCATTGTACAGAAAAACAGGAATCCCACCTCCCATAACGGCATTAGTTAAACCGCAAGTTTACGTGGCAAAAGCAGCTTTTTTGACAGAGACTTCAGAATAAATACTCTAAACAAATCTGTTCATTTAAAATACAGTCATTTAATGAAATAAAAAAGACATTAGAACACTTTGATTTGACTGAAATATAGATTTTTAACATCATGACATTTCAGATTGGTTATGTTTAATCATATTCTTTCAGCTGTGAATATTTTCATGTTAACTCACATCTGAGAATTTCAAAAAAGTTGCCTCTTTAATAACATGTATTAGTGCTGTTTTTATATTTTACTTGAATTTTCTGTGTAAATATTGAGGTTCCCATTGATATTATTGTAATTTAATTTCACTGAGTATTAAGCACAAGTGAATTAACAAAAGTGTATATGAAAAAAATCAATCATGAATTGTTCTGTTCCCTTGTGAATAAAGACATCAGATATTTTATAAATATGATATTAATTTTACTCGTGCATCAATATTACCTGTCAGGGTTACTAATCTTATTTTATATTAATCAACCTATTTGGGGAACTAGCAGTTTTTGTCAACTTTGTTTCTACTTGTTGTATGCAGATAATTTGTCAAATAAGTGCCTTGTTATTGTTTGTTAATCATGGCATTTGAGCCATGGATTCCATATAATATTTCCACACATATTAAACCATTACACAATGATACAATTTACATTACCGTTTAAAAGTTCATGCTGTTAAGATGTTTTTGATTTTGAGAAAAAAAAGACAATGTAATTACAAGATTTTGGTGGAGGACAGCACTTAACATTATTGTCTATTATCAGCCTACAAAAGCCTAATTGGAATGTTTGCCACATTATCAGTTTTCAGTTGCACTTAACTTCTACTTCTTAATCCAAGACCAACACAGCGGCGCACATGGAGTCTGTTTGCAACTCTTTCCAGTCCAGATGGTGTCCACAGTCTCCTGGGAACTGCTGCTACCTCTGTCTATCTGCCAAGAGATCAATAATCGCTGACAGGCATCAATCTTCTCACAAAACACCTCTGTTCTCTAAGTGTCTTTCTATGATTTAGCTATTACAAAATGATCTGAACTAGAAACTGCAGCTGCTGTGACCATCTTGAGTTGTAGCCGGTTTGCCAGCAGACTGAATATGCTGGCTATGACAATACACAGGTTGATGTAACTATTGAAAAAATGTCTGTAAACACAAAACACATACATTATTGCAAATATGTATCCACTACTGCCACGTGTCAGCAGTCTGATGAAGAGGTTTACATTTCTAGCAACAATAGCTACTTACCGTGGCTACATATTTTCTTCAAACTTTGTCAGTTAAAGACACTACAGTCCTCTGAGAGAAAAAGAAGTAATAGCCAATATGTTCAATTTTGTCATTTAGGAAAATGGTAACATTTATGAGTCTAACAGGTGAAAAAAAACTATTGGATGATTTGCATAGGCTAAGGCTCAATGGGCTCAACTGTCAATAACACATGAGCTGACACTTGTTGAAATGTCACAAGTTTCAGTTCTCACCCATTTCCTGTTCTCCATTTAACAATCATGTGATCAAAAGCCACAAAACCAGTGTGAAATACCATAAGCAGAAGAAAGTGTGACACATCATGCCTAGGCAGCAAAATCCAATAGAACAATATTTTGTTTGTGCACAACTTAAAATGTATGTATTTTTTGACAAGACTGTGGTGAAACCTCAGATAAATAACTTTTGGATGTGACGTTTAAAATTAAATGGCAGCTGTGTGGGTGGTACAAACTCTTTGACAGGACCCCTAGAATGGAAAAAGTGAGTAGGCTTATAAAGGTTGAGTGGGGTCCAAAAGACCACCAGACAAAATTCTATTTTTAACAATATTTTATTGTATTGTGGTTATGTTTATGCAGATAGAAAGAAAGAAAGAAAGAAAGAAAGAAAGAAAGAAAGAAAGAAAGAAAGAAAGAAAGAAAGAAAGAAAGAAAGAAAGAAAGAAAGAAAGAAAGAAAGAAAGAAAGAAAGAAGCTTGTTGCTTCTATGTTTTTGTATGGTTGACTTGTTTTTAGCATTCCAACTTAATAAGTCTATTCAAGTGTGCTATTGTATACTTCTAGGCTAACTATATAAATCCCAGGGTTGGCAAGGTGGTTTGCTGAGGGAAAGACATGTGCTCAGAGAAGCTTACAGTGCAAATACACATGTGGGGATCACCCAGAGGAGGGGACCATGCACACGGATACACCTAACCAACGCGCAAGCATAGACCTTTTTCACAAAAACCGGATATACGTAGGCCTAATTGTTGTGGAAACGGAGTTCCCGTCAACTGTCGACACATTAGAAAAACCTACTCTGGGAGGAGAAAATTGATCAGAGAGTCTTCAAAACTTCGAAAAAATGTAAACTTGTCATGGTCCAGTTGTTGATGACTTCGTAAAATGCTGTGGTGATGCTTGTCTGCAGCTGATGTAAGACCAAAGATATGACTATTGATTTCAGAACTGAAGCTCATTCTTCCCGATATACGTTCATTAAAGGTAAGAATGTGTGGAAAGTTATTCATATTTAGGGAGTATTATTTACAATAAACTGCATTTTGATGTAAATACCAGAAAGAAGTCTGTCAGTTTTATTCAACAGTTATCCTGCATGTTTTGCACTGCTGTTGCTATAACGATCAAAGATGAAGAAAAATTATACAAATATTAATTTATCCCTTGTACACTCAGATTGTTAAATACTCAGAATGGTATATATTAATATTTTAAATTTATATGTAGCCCACTGTTGTGTGTTCTTATTTATCTTGTTTTATATTGTGGTGTATTTTATGTGCTTATTCCACTGGATACATATCTTAATAAAGTTGAACATGAACTAACGTTACTTCAAAAACACACACAAAACATAAAAAATAAACAAACAATGACGGCTTATTGTGAATGGTGACATGAGAAGTACAGAAGATCACAGGATCAAATCCCACCAGATTGCCTGAATCCAGTTCCTTCGAACTTCATCGACAGGGAACTGGGAAGGAATGAAAACGACAGGTAGGCTATGGCTGCTTTTGGGAATAACCAAAAAGATCGGTACGCAACAACTCTCACAAGTTACCTTCGGCGCTATCTGTTATGAATGGAGCGGAAGAAGATTACCACAACAATTGCGTATTTCCGGTCACAAATACGGAAGTTGTGAGAAAGGTCTTGTGTCGACGTCAGCAGTGCTGAAGGAACTCAGGGTTTGACGAGGAAGCTATCGCACGTATCCAGACCGTGAAGTGGAATGGCGAGCAAACGAAGACACCTGAGCAGGTCGTAAAATCAACGTAAAATCATCCTATCGTTTATTTCATAGGACAATCTGAAGAGGTAACGTTACTTTGCACTGTAAAATCACCGTAACATGGCCTAATAAGAAAATTCGGCAAAGTTACACAGAAATATTTTATGTAACTTAGTCACAGACGCGAAGCAGAAACGCTCAGTAGGATTTTACGACGAGGTAGGATGAACCGATAGATATGGCTATAATTTTGCGCTACGGTAGGAAAATCTGACAAGGTAGGACAGATCGACAGAACACCGGTACTAGCTGGTTGAAGCTAACACATGAGAGGACATAGTATAATCGGAGATTGTATAATCTGGCGAATGTGTTGGGTGTGCAGCCTGCAACTCTGCAGATGTCTGTTAGCGAGGTGCCATGCGCAAGAGCCCAAGAGGACGTTACACTCCAGCTCATGCTAGCTGTGAATAGCTACAGTACATGCTAATATAAGTGCTAAATCATGCCAAGAACATTTTAAGAACGCTATAAAAACTCTATAGTAACCATATGTGACAACTACCAACCACCTAGTAACACCATAGCAAACACATGGAACACCCTAGCATCCACCCCAAATACCCTAGCAACACCCTAGCAACCACCAAGCAACACCATAGCAACCACCCAGAATACCCGAGCAACCGCCTACCAACACCCTAGCAACCAGCAGAATACCCTAGCAACCACCCAGAAAACCCTAGCAACTGCCTAGATTACCCTAGCAACTGTCTAGGGACCACCCAGAACACCTTTGCAACCGCCTAGCAACACTATAGCAACCACCCAGAACACTCAACTATCTGAACAACATGAATAAGCCATATGTCAGCATCAGAATATCGTACAGATGTTGTTGTTGTTGGCACGTATGCAGTCATGCACAACGATTTTGTGGTGAGTATTGCCACTGCAAGCACCTCTTCACATTTTCTTCTGGAAATGTTCATTCTAGTTTTTCTATCCTATTCTATTTTCCATTCCTTATATTTCTGTGTTTTACTTTTATATTTTTGAGCTGCTGTAACACAGGATTTTCCCCAGTGTGGGATTCATAAAGTTTATCCTTATCCTTATAGACCATTTCACAAGATGTAAACAACACTGGTCCAGAAACACTTCCTGTTTCAGTTTGTAACCGTTTTCTTTATTTCACATGTAAAGAAAATATCTTAAAGATGTTTGTTTAACTTTTTGATTCAGTTTTATATGTTCTGTTGGTTGTATTTTATCCCAGCTTTTATGTAGTGCTAAAAAACTGAAACAGGAAGTGCTTCTGGACCAGTCTTGTTTACATCTTGTGAAATGGTCTATTGAAATAGTACACTTATAAGTATAATACTAGTACATTGATATTAGTATTACTACAAAAATAACACATTTAGAATAAAATGAACTTGAAGCATACTCATTTTTGTAAGGATGGTGTGATTTTTAACTTTACCTCTAAATGAATGCATATTAATAACCATTAATTCTGCCAAAATAAACTTCTAAGACTAATGTTTCTCTGCTAAGCACGAAATAGTCCAGAGGGAAACAGCCCTTGAAATTTTCCATTTTGCTGTCTCATGCTTTTAAGTAATCTATCATGTGAAGTTGACTTCATACAGTACCTCCCCCTTGGGAGTCCTGTGCCCCTACTCAACCTCCTTTGTTCCTTTTTCAAAGAAAGACTTTTCTGTCATTCAGCAAATTAACTTTCTCTAAATCTCTTCCTCTTTCTTGATGTGTGCTCAGAACCTCAAATGGAGCCAGTTTTTAAATTCAGATTTTAACCTAGATACAAAGTGCAAGTGAAGGAAGGATTTTTAGACAAAATACAATGCGCTAACGTCTAATTTATTAGTATATTATTTTACTACTTTTCTGTAATAAATTCCCTTAAATAACTTTAGTGTAGCAAAATTGAATTGTGGACTTTTAAGGTGTTTTGATTTGATATGTAGACCTTGTCACTCAAATACGTTGTGTGAATGTTTTGATTGTTATAACATTATAAAAGAAGGATTTAGGGCAGTGGTTTTCAACTGGTTTAGCCACATGTCCATTGATAACCCAAATAGTAACACCGGTAGTAAAATTGTATAGCATACCAAATATGAGCAAAAAGCAAAGAATTGAACTACTACCTTGAAATGCATACACAATGTGCAAAATTATTAATGTCATATTAAATAGGAAAAATTGACAATTTTGTAAAAGCATAAATGATGATTTGCTTGCCTAAAACAGGCAGTTGACCACACACTATTAGTATTTTCCATATTACCAAGAGACAGATGCATTTGCACAAAATAGCATGGGCTGTCCAAAGCTGTCCGATTGCTGTTATTTGAACTTGGAAATGAACAGAAATATCAATATACTTTGGCTAAAACAAACAATGAAGACTCCCTCTAAAAGGTCAAGCTGATTTATTGATCATGAACTTTAAATGTGAATCAAGACTTCTTGAGTTTGACACACAGGGCTTATATTTTACAGCTTATATTTTATATATCACAAGCTCCATCAGGAATCGTCCAGATGATCCATGTCTCTGTCTCTTCACTGTGTGTCACAGATTGGTGGTTCCTGTAAACAGAAGCTAATGGATTATGTCACTTGCAGTCATGGATATTTGGAATGCTGGTCTCATTCCAGAGTCAGTCTGAAGGGAGGGAGGGAAGGGAAATGAGACCATCTCCAGAAAATAAATGAATCTCTTTCACATTATACACATGCATACCCACTGGGTAAGGAGTGCCCACCTACAGTAACTGTGACATCATTGCACATCTGGAATCTAAATGCTCTTTCAACATATTGGTTTTGGTTAAAGGGTGGCAATTTTGCAGCGATCTCCTCATTCTTAAACTCTTAATTTTGTGAGACATCAAATCCCAAATTTCAACTGTTCTTAAAAAAAAAAAGGGTTTAGCATGTTTTTAAGCCGATTCATGAGTTCACACTAACCTATAATTAGATAGAGTAAAGGTTACGCATATTTGGCATGCTGACTGAGGGGAGGGCTCCGAGTTCGGAATTTCGCCTGAACGTATATTACCCCCCAACACCCCAGCATTTTTCAGGCTAGGAATTGTAGTATTGACGGATCAGACCTGTTTGCCCAATAGTGGTAAGACCAAGGAAAAAAAAAAAAATCTCCCATCCCCATATAACATCACTTCTCTGTCTTTTACTGCCCTGACAGGAACGTTGGTCTCCTCGGTTGTGAACCGCTCCTGGTGTGCGCCTGGTAAATTCGACATAATATTAACAATCCGCAATGCAACATGCGCACCTGCTCTTAAACGGTATGTTGGATGATGCTCTGATTGGTTTATTTCACATTACGCCCAAACCACACCTATGAATAATGAAGCTATTTCAGACCAACCCCTTTTAAACTTGCGTCAGGGGCAAGAGTTATTTATCCTGCTGGTAAAATAGCAACAGCGCAAGAGTTTCAGATCGTTAAAATAGGGCCCTTTGTGTGTAAACAGTTGGAAAAACGAATGTAACAGTAACACATC